GTCCTGAATGGGTGCTAGCCCAGCTTCGCAGTTTCCCTCCCTTTCCACGTGCCCAGAAGGCTGCTGTGCTTGGATAGGGCAAGATCCAGTGGCTGCGGATGAAGGTCTGCTTCACAATTGTGCGCCACTCACGTGCCTGCTGAGTCCCGTACACGCTGACAATGACATCAAAGGACTGGTGGAAGAGGACCCGGTACTGCTTTGACTCCCAGTGTTTACGCGGCCAGTCGCCGTTCCCATCGCCGTCCCAGCCCCAAAGCCATGCAAAGAGCATCTCAATGTTCCTGACTTTCATCCTGGAGCCTGTGATGAACTGGATGTCTTCCCAAAAGTGGGAATGTTGAAAGATTTGTGAGATACCAGCACAGGTGAGTGGGATTTCACCATTGCACGCATCCTCAAGCCTAGCAGGATGGAGTGGCTGCTGGGTGACACAGTCAGCCAGGCTTCTGAAGACATCCTTCCGGAAGGCCCTCAGGCAGAGATTCACCAGCAGCTGCAGCAGCAGCGCAGAGCGGGCGGGGTCTAGGCGGACATCCAGCATGCGGCTGAATACATCATGGAAGAGCACGAAATCAGACTTGAACTTGATCAGTTGCCGGTACTGCCGGTAGTAGGCCATCTGTAGGGTCGGGGTGTTGAAGACCATGTGCGCCCGATGTGGTGGCTTGAATGTCATGGCCATCCAGTCAAGCTTGTCAAGAAACCAGGCATAACCATACAGCTCCAGTGTGGACGCCATCCCAAGGCCCTCCTGAATCCGCTCCGTGTCAGAACCCTCTGGGGGCGGTTGCACCCGACGATCAAGCCACAGGCCACTGCTGCGGCAGAGGTGGTTGCCCTGGCCTCCATACGCGCACAGGAGGCATCGAAGAAACATCATCATCACCCGAGTATGTTCCCAGTGCACCACAGTGCGCGGCTGCAGGCTGTAGACCATCTCAAACCCGGTGCACAGCTTGTTGATGTTCCACCGCAGCCACCCCAGAAGCTGGTCAGTGCGATAGTTGAGGAAGGGCGCTGGGCATTGAGGCACAACTGTGGGATGATCAGCTAGATTGCTTTCCCGGAGGATTCGGTCCATGGCCTGCAGGACAGCAGCAGTGACCCGGTACTCCTCCCGAGTCCCGTAGGACCGCTGGCGGCAGTCGGAAATGGCGACATGGCACCGCCGCTTGGTGTGGATGTACGCGCGCAGCAAGGCAAGAGGGGAATGGCTGATGGCCTTTCCAATATGCTGCCAGGTCCGTACCAGCCCGGGATCCAGAGCCAACGTGTCCAGGTTCTCATTTGCAAACGGGGAATGCTGGCCGGCCGCGAAGACCTCCTTGACGGTGTTGTAGAACTGGCAGTAGAGCAGGCCCCGGCGGCGAAGCGGGGAGCACCGGTGCGGCTCTAGCGTCATGGACCCCAGATCACGCAGGAACGACAGCGGATAGAACTGCTTGCGCCAGGATCCTTCCTGTGGATGTTCATGTTCTGAATCAGGAGCCTGGGCATCAGCAACCGGTGCGCCACCTGCTGAATGTTCACCCAGGTTGCTGGTATCCTCATCATCTTCATCTTCACCGCCCTCACTAAGCTCTGGCTGGTATGCATCTTCATCTTCACTCCTGAGTGCCGGCTCCACCGACCCGTGTTGGACGTGGCCGGAGTCTGAGGCCTCGGACGTCACCCTATGCTGGACATGGCCGCGAAGTCGGCGGGACCGCCGGAGCTGGACAGCTGCCACTGGGTGGTCATTGTTGATCTGCATCTCCATTGAATTGTCCGGTGAGCTATCGGGCTCAGATGAAGTGGGAGAAGAGATCCTTTGTGCAGCTGGTGAATCTCTCAGCCATTCACAGAAACAATCCAGGCAACAACGTCGCCAGATGAATGTGCAGGGCGCGTGTGTTGGCTCCTGGTGCGACAGGAAGCTCCAGGGCGAGACCACCTCCTTGCCAATATCATAGAAGCTGGTGGTCAGATAGCGCCCATCCACGGCCTGATTCCACATGCGAAAGAAGGCATCACGCGTGCTGGACCAGGTGGCATGCTGGGTTGAGAGCTTCAGGTTCTTAGCAGTCAGAAGGAGCATGAGTCCCTGAAAGTGCTGAAGCCCTGGGTCTTGGATGGTTGTCTGCACATGCTCCCAGAGATGGTGAAGTCCTGCTGGCTGTAGTGAAAAGTGGAACTCCTGCACCCGTGGCTGCTCGTGCAAAGTCTGATTGCGGCCTTCTGCCCGAGCTGCGGTGGAACTGAGCTGGATATGCGCGGCACTGGATGGCAGGTGGAGAAGTGTGGATGCAGAGTAAACATGGTGGAGGGCCGGGAGGAAGACCTTGTCTGTCCAAAGAGCATACTCCTGCTCTGTGATGATGTGGTGCTGGCGCTGGGGGCTGAAGAGCCGGGGGAAGAGAATGTAGACCTCAATCTCAGGGAATCCAACCAGTCGTCCAAACGGAAGGTGAGGGATCTGGTGGACTGGTCTCTGGGACTGGCGGACCCTTTCGGTCTGCTCATCTCTCCACTGAACTGAAATGGGATCCAGGTGAAGAGAACTCTTCAGGTTGCTCGTCAGAGACCGGTTGGCTTTCCATTGGAACCCCTCACGGGCCACTGCGAGACTTGAGGCCAGACCACCAGCGCTATCAATGTCAATCATGGCGTGCAGGGATGCTGGCATCGGCATGGTATCACCTTCCAAATCAATGGTCGCGGGGCGTGGAGGCACTTCCTCATGGGCTAAAGGCTCCACTGATGCGGATATCCCACTGTATAGCCTTTGGCGCTGATGAACTGGCAGGATGGTGTCCCACTGTATGGGATAGGAAGACATGCTGGCGTGCTCTAAGACATCTGGACATTCCCAGCTTGCCATTTGTGAGAGAGACACTGTTGGCATGGAGAGTGGCTCTGATGCAGCATGAGCCTCAGTAGAGCACCCATGATGGGTCTGCAGCTGTGCCACCAGCTCCTGTGCAAGTGTGTTGTCTTCTTCTGTTGATTCCACTGTATTTGTGGGCAGGAAGGGTCCATGGTCCGACCTTGGCCCTGGTGTACCAGGGCTGGACAGGCCTGAAGGTGTTAGCAGCAGTGCTGGATCTAGGATGTAGTTAGAGGTTTAAAATGCTTGGTCATCTTATCCTGTTGCAGACAACTGACCATCCTCACTGCTGCTGGATTCTGCTGGTGATGGAGGGCTCTCATGCTCCATTTCATCAGACTCAGACTCAAGCAAACCCTCTTCAATCATGCCTGGTGGCTCAGAGCTTCCACACTCAACAGGCACCGCGTCAAGGGTGTTCTGTAGGTCCGCAAACACATAGGGCGAATCCTCAACAGACTGGGAAAGACCAGCCCCACTTCGGGGATTGCAGGTCAAGAAGGTATTCTGAAACAATGTTGACATGCTTGCTGATGTGAGTTCTTGCTGCTGCTGTTGTCGCCTTCAATATGCTTGCACTCGTGCCCGAACTGCGTCCCTCTCAGTTGCATACTTGCGTGGCCGCCCACGGCCCATGCTGACTGGAGTGTTTCACCAATGTGCTTGCTGTGTGGAGAAATTGCAGAGAATGTGCTGGGATAACATTGAACCTGAAGTGTCTGAGCCAGAATCTTGAGATGGGTGAGATTTTGGCTGGGCTTACTGGGTGAAATGAACATTTGTGATAAATCAGAAATGCCACCCCCCTGATTATCCCAAGCCTATGAATCTATTAAAAATGTCAGTCTCTTTCTTCTGCCAACTTTGAGCCTACAATCAAAGCTCTGTTTTCTCTACTGCTTTATCACAACCATCTCAGGTCATCTCTTTGGTAGTCTGAGACTTTATTCTGGTTGCTTCTCTTCCCTTCCCTGTCCTTCCAGTTGTTGAATGAATTGCCATTGACCATGGTAGCTCAGAGACATTCCAGCACCCGGCCGCAATCTTCCAGCACAGAGACAGAGCCACACCTCCCCAGTGCTTTCACTGTACTTCAAAGGAAAAAAGCAAGAAGAACATTAAATCAGCCCCAGTCCATGCCATCAGTGATGGCAGGAAGCAGTCGACACACACTGTTGAACAGTTCTCTGTCAAGAAACATGTCTCTAGATGGTGAGTGGCAGCCCTGAACCTTATGGTCCTATGTATAGCATCTATTAACAGGTGGTTCTGGATAAAGATCTTGCCCAAACCACTCCTTTCAATAAGGGTACACGATTTCCAAGTCCCATGAGTGTTCCTGCACATACGCCATACCACAGCAAGCCTAATCTGGAAAGCCAGAACCGATGGCTATCTAGCTCTCGATCAGTAACACCAGAAGAGGTTTTGGCTTCAAAGAATTCCATTTCACATCAGGAGAGCAGGCACTCAGAGATGATCTGTCAAGAGGATAGAAAAGGAAAGGCATCTAGATTGAGCCAGAGCTCAGTCTTGGAGAACAGCTGCTTTGAGGAACAATCAAGCCCCTTGCTCAGCAGCCCTCAAGTGTCAACACCAACCCAGRCMCCACMCAGAGAGAGAGAGAGACAGGGMCAGTTCTCCTGCTTGACTGACAACTCTTCTGATGCTGACACCAGCTATTCCAGGAACCATTATCAACAATCAAGCACAATTGGTTCATTGGCATACTTGACATTGACTTCAGACCTGGATGCAGATCCGGATGGATGGGATCACATCAACAACTCAGTGCGGAGGGGTTCAAGAGGACACTTGCTTCATAGACAGCAGAGAGAGATTAGGTGTGTGGAGAAGATGGTAGAAAGAAGAGCAAATCACAGAAGCAGGCATTGCAGATGGCCATGCATCCGAACAAGGTGGTCTGCTGAAGAGACCGCAAGGCTGGTGCAGCTGTGGGAGAGGCATGGCAACAACTGGGCTTTGATCAAAGAGCTGGACAAGGAGATGCCCGAGCCCAGGCTGTGGAACCGTACACAGGTGGATCTTAAGGATCGGATGCGAAATGTGAAGATTGGCCTTATGAGGTATGCAGTGGCCTTCTGTATGGGGCAGTCTGGTCTTGTAAACTAACATTTGACCACAGGAGAGGTGATCCAGTACCAGATGACTACTGTCAGATTCACCTAAGTGACCGGCACCTGAAATCAATTGCACGAGGGCGGCTAAGACAACAAGAATGAGAATAGCTTCCAGGCACCCTAGCATGCTTGGACAAGTGCTATGGACTCAATGAGGTGGTTTGGGAAAGGTTTCATATACAGTGCGGCAGGAGGGAAGCAGCCTATTGAGCTGACTTAGAGAAATAGTTGTTCCAAGCTGATCAGATACTTTGCCTGTGAAGCAACTGCCAGACATGCTGCATAAAATTTGGCAATTCTGGCTTGGATTATATGCATCCACTAGCAAATCACAGTAGCAGGAAATACCATGCTGAAAACATCAGAATGAGAGTAAAAGAAGACAGTGTAGTGGATTCAAGATAATTCTATCTCCTGGGAAAGCTGAAGAGAACAGATCTATAGAAGGGAAGAAGTGCAAATGATAAAACACAGACTTCTGTCATCCAATTCAGAGAATACATCTTGCAGTCAATGTTTGCAGATGGAAACCAGCAGTCAAAATTGATGGTAAAAAATTGACGATGATCAAAATTGACAGTAAAACTTGACAACCAAAATTGACGACCAAAATTGACAACCAAAATTGACGACAGCAAAAATTGACGACGGTCAAAATTGACAACGGTCAAAATTGACAACGGTCAAAATTGACAACAGTCAAACCTGACGACAGTCAAAATTGACGGTAAAAATTGACGGTAAAAATTGACGGTCAAAATTGACAGTCAAAATTGACGACCAAAATTGACGATGGTCAAAATTGACAGCGAAAATTGACAGTCAAAATTGACGAACCAAATTGACGACCAAAATTGACAGCGAAAATTGACGATGGTGAAAATTGACAGCGAAAATTGACAGCGAAAATTGACAGCGAAAATTGACAGCGAAAATTGACAGTGAAAATTGACGATGGTGAAAATTGACAGCGAAAATTGACGATGGTGAAAATTGACGGTCAAAATTGACGATGGTAAAAATTGACGGTCAAAATTGACGACCAAAATTGACGATGGTCAAAATTGACGGTCAAAATTGACGACCAAAATTGACGATGGTAAAAATTGACAGCGAAAATTGACAGTCAAAATTGACGAACCAAATTGACAGCGAAAATTGACAGTCAAAATTGACGACCAAAATTGACAGCGAAAATTGACAGTCAAAATTGACGACCAAAATTGACGATGGTCAAAATTGACGATGGTAAAAATTGACAGCGAAAATTGACAGTCAAAATTGACGAACCAAATTGACAGCGAAAATTGACGACCAAAATTGACAGCGAAAATTGACGACCAAAATTGACGATGGTCAAAATTGACGATGGTAAAAATTGACGGTCAAAATTGATGATGGTCAAAATTGACGACGGTAAAAATTGACGGTCAAAATTGACGATGGCGAAAATTGACGACCAAAATTGACGATGGTCAAAATTGACGATGGTAAAAATTGACGGTCAAAATTGATGATGGTCAAAATTGACGACGGTGAAAATTGACGGTCAAAATTGACGATGGCGAAAATTGACGACCAAAATTGACAGCGAAAATTGACAGCGAAAATTGACAGTGAAAATTGACGACCAAAATTGACGATGGTAAAAATTGACAGCGAAAATTGACAGTGAAAATTGATGATGGTCAAAATTGACGACGGTAAAAATTGACGGTCAAAATTGACGATGGTAAAAATTGACAGCGAAAATTGACAGCGAAAATTGACAGTGAAAATTGACGACCAAAATTGACGATGGTCAAAATTGACGATGGTAAAAATTGACGGTCAAAATTGATGATGGTCAAAATTGACGACGGTAAAAATTGACGGTCAAAATTGACGATGGCGAAAATTGACGACCAAAATTGACGATGGTCAAAATTGACGATGGTAAAAATTGACGATGGTAAAAATTGACGGTCAAAATTGATGATGGTCAAAATTGACGACGGTAAAAATTGACGGTCAAAATTGACGATGGCGAAAATTGACGACCAAAATTGACAGCGAAAATTGACGGTCAAAATTGACGGCCAAACTCAATGGTTAAAACACATCTTGTGCATCCGCAACAGGTTCAGCTCATTGAAAACCGTCGGTCAAAATTGATGACGATGAAAATTGATGGTAGAAATTGGTGGTCAACACTCACAGCCAATAGTCTGTGGCCTCATGCTTTGGAGGAACTGTGTTCCAGTTGGTATTGGTGTTAGCTGATGTTGGTGGCCAACGTCGGCGGTTAGGATTGATCAGGGAGAGCCAGCATCACCATAAGCACCCCAAATCAAACACGTTCAGATGTTCTGCTGCGCCATGCTCAAAGACTGTGGAGCTTCAGCAGCGTCTCAAGCTCCAGGCTGGCAAAAGAGACTCAGCATTGCCATGTCATGACACATCTTGCATATCTCTGGGCGAGGGGATCCTCTCCTTGGATGAAAGGCCACGGGCGCCACACCAACGGCCTCAATGGCATCAGTGGATATGCCGGCACAAACTTGGTAGGATGCTAATATTAGCCAGTCGCACTGTCACCAGGCTGAAGGCTCATCGGCGCATCCGACTGCCGAGTATTCAGCGTGGACACGACTACAGTGGGAGATACAATGGATGGCTTTCAGCTAAAATTGCTTTGATTAGACCTAACTACTGATCTATTCAACTCTGCAGAACGAATGGTCTAGAGCAAACAGTCATGGTTGTTCCATATATCCCTAATGATACCCAGTCATCTTGACAGAAGTGCTGCATGATCCTTGGGTGTTTCTTTTTAAATTTCACGGCCACGCGGCCACGCCGGGCCTCATACTGTATCCAGATCAATGATGTCTGGAACTATACCAACCTCTCTCTGCAGCGACATGGCCAGTTCATTGAAACTCTTCCGCATTGCCTGCCGGTCAAGGATGTTGCTTTCGACCTGGACATCTCTGCACACCAGGCGGTAGGTGTACGTGGCCTCGTTCATCTGCCCGTAGCGGCGGATGCGTGCCTTGCCTTGAGCCTCATCCCTCTCCAACCAGCTCGGGCTCAGCAGGATAAGTCGGAAGGCACGAACACAGGTGTAGCCCACGCCTAGGATCTCCAGGGTGCTGATCAGGACGCCTGGACTTGCATCAGTCTCACCTCCAGGCAGTGGCAGGTCCCGATTGAAGGCGTTGATGCACGTGTCTCGGTCCTCAACACTCATACTGCTATAGACTGCTGCGACGCAGTAGCCTTGCTTCTGCAGCCACTGTGTGGAAAGTTAGCCGGGGAAGAAAACACAAGGAAAGGGGACACGGCGACCTACCACCTCAAGCATGTGAACCACGCGGGGGAATTCTGTCAGGATAACAATCTTCTCTGGGCGCCCACGATAGTCTCTCCCCATGCCCTGCAGGATGTGTTGAATCGCACGACACTTGGAGCTGGAATTGGCCAGGGCATCGATTGCATGAATGTAGGGTGCCTCCTTGTCCCCACCAGCATGCCACCCGTTCTCCATCATCTCCTCATCGGTGAGCTTGAGCTCGCGTTGCTCGGTCTTCATGAGGTCCAGAAGGGCTGGGAAGATGGCAATGATCCGGTTTATGCGCGACTTCTTGAAAAAAGTCTGGCTGGAAAGCTCAGGTTTAGATCCTTGACCGTGCTTCTTCCATTCCTGCAAGCTTCTCATGTAGCTGTCTTTTAGTTTTTGAATTTCACGCTCCTCACGCCGCTGGAGCTCGTCTCTGACCTTGGGCTCTAGGCTGCAGAGGACATCATGATGGCGGTTGGGGGGCAGCTCCATGATGGGTTTGTTGAACCAACTTGTCTCGGTGGTGCGGCGGATCATCAGACACTCGAGCACCTGACCAAACTGGTGTGCTGCTGACCGGAACTCAATCTGGTCCGTTCTGGACAGCTGCTTCTTGCTGATCAGTAGCTGCACTCTGGCTGAGAGGGTCTTCCATTGATCATGTTGGGCAAATTGCAGTCTGGCGTCATTTTCCCATCCGGCAGTGGCCAGTATCGTCATCCAGGAGAGCATGTCTGTCGGTCCTTTATCGTACGGTGTCCCGGAGAGCAGCCAGGTGGCTGGGGCGTAGCCTTGCTTCCCTGCGGCTGAGTTGATCTCTCGAAACTGCCTGATGGTCTTGCTGTCAAAGCCCTTCTCCTGGTGGCATTCATCTCGGATCACGGCTCGCCATCGCAATTGCTGGGCATCTTGTTTCTGAATGTCATGGAGGGGTATCATCACACGGCTGGAGAGCGAGCCCGGGGTGGTCAGGAACATGTGCCGATAACACTGCTGGGGACCCAGGTCATGTTGTCTCAGCGTCGCATGCTGTGCGGTCTGTATGAACGCGTGGCCCAAGTTGCCAACCTTTGTGGGAGTCAAGTCTCCATGGCCAATGAAGAGATTCAGTTTCAGACAGTTCCCTGAGTCACCGGGGATAGAGTCGGCCCACTCTCTCGCCCACGGGAGAAGGAGACCTTTGGGCACTACCACCAGCATTGCACCTTGCAGCGGTTGACTCAGACAGCGTGCAGTCACCCCGTCCGGAACACAGGCACACAGAATGGGGAACATATCCTGAGAGGGACATCTTAGGTGATGCTGCTTTGGACCCTTGTGTCCTTCTTCTGTGTCCATGACCGCAGGGAGGTGCTTGTTGGCCATTGCTGGATCCTTACGGCACTGTTTGATGTGCAGGCGGTTGTAGATGATCCAGGCACCCAGGACAAAGTACAATATCACCTCCATGGTTTTGCCAATTCCCATCTCGTCAGCAATGAATCCACCTTGCTCTAATCCTTGATCCTTGAGAAGCATCCAGAATGCACAGTACAGCTGGTGGGGCGGGGCGTCTCGCAGCATGCCACGGATAAGGATCTTCCTGGTTGGGTCTGTGCCGTCATTTTCATTCTGCGGGAGCATGAAGAAACTGGTGAAATCCCGCCATGTTTGGCTGTCCATCTGCTCACATCGAAATCTGCCAGGCTTGATGAGTTCCGCCGGGTCAACTTGCTCAGTGTTGCCCTCGTCACTGGTTTGTGGCTCAGGTCCCAGTTGTGTCACCTCGTCAAGAAACTCATAACCTGTGTCCAAGGGTAAAGTGTCGTCACCATTGATCATCTCAACATCCGGGGAGCGGCGCTCTTTTTGAATTTCACTGGGTGAAGCTGGCGGGTATTCATTTTGAATTTCACTATCCTTGGTTGGTGCTGATGTTGTTCTTGAAACCGGCCGCTCAACCACAATATGTGCAGGTGTGGAGTCACATTCACGGTCATCCATGACCTGGGTTGGGCCATCCTGAGGATCCTGAGCTTCGGTGGAGGCAGTGGGCACAGCGCCTGGGTTTGGTGGATCTATCACGGTGTCCAAGTCCATTGGAGTGTCTGGGTGGCTAGCCATGCTATCAATTCCATTGAAGCCATCCTCGCGGTCACAATGCAGCTCATCAACGGTCGTGTCCACACGCATGCTGTCCTGGGGACAGTCTTGATTGTGTTGAGAGAGGGGACGAGAGGAAGACAGTGTGGCAGGAGATGGCGAGCATGTGGTGATCCGGCGTCAGCGGGTTGCAGGCATATCATGGTGCCCATCATCATCTAAGAACTCTGTCTCTGGGCCTTCAGACATGTTCCCATCATTGTTGGGGCCGGTGACTGACTCAATTTGTCTTTTTTGAATTTCACGCGTATGGGTGGGCTCCGTGTCCCGGGCGGTGATCACAAACTTGAGGGTCAGAGATCCATCTGTTCCTTTGCTCAGAATCTCCTCCAGCTGCATCACGCACACTGATTGCCACAGTCACTTGTTGATGATGGTGACCTGCTCATCTGGGCTCTTGATGGTCTGAGAGTCGCAACAAAATTCACAGTCAGCAGTCAGAATACTCTGCCACTCTGTCCAATCCTCCTCGGAGAGTGTTCCCTGCCTGTCTAGCGTGCGATGTGACGGCAATTCATTAACCTGGCAGACCGACACAGAGCCAGAGACTGTGTTTCTGGTGAAGATAATGGCTCGGTAGAGTTCTTTGGCCGCGGGCGTCAGAGGCTTGGCCAAACCCGGCACATACCACGGAGTGCTTGACGTAGTGGGACAGGTCTCAAGAGACTCAAGTGCGGAGAGGGAAGACGTTGGTCTGGAGGCAGCTGTAGCCAACAATGGCTGCCGAACAGGTGTTGATGAGGAAATCCAGGGGCTCGCAGGCTCGGGGGATGAATCTTGCTGGATGCCGTACCGCTGTCACCTTGTTTTCTGGTACTGGACCTGCACAAGAAGCCACACAAGCGCCCCACGGACATTCTCACGGTTAGACTCGCTCTCCCAGGCCTGCAGGACCTTATTGGCGAAGCTCCCTTGAGAAATGGCGCGCTCCACCACAGCAATCCGGCTCTCCTTCAGCACCCTCTTAGCTACCGCTTGATGGATAAGGCCCTGGATCTCCTTGTCGTGAAGCTCTTGCATGACCTTTTTCAGATCAAGTAGCTCCTCCGCTGTCAAGCCAAGCATGGCTTTGGCATGAGTCTCATTCATTGTTATCACGTTGTACTGGGAGAAATATCATGTCAGTGTTTCTTGATCTGATGTCATGCAGAAATGAGGCAGTGGCAGAGCGAACCTTTTTGAATTTTACTATCTTTGCAAAATGAAGCGGGACCTTGACTTTGTGACGCGTGATCCTTGATGCTGGACGGCTGCTCAATCTCTCATGATAGTTCTTGACGGTGGTTCAGCACCTTCAGATGTTCAGTCAGCCCTGATCTCGGTGCCTTACAATGCTTAAGTGGGTGATGGGTGTTCTGAACTTACAATGCAGCTATGGAATACTGGAAGGGACAATCAAGAGATTTCAAAGTCAATGCAATTGTGGTTGAGAAGGTTGTCAGAATCAGAAATGTTGTGGGTGAGAAGCAAAGCCTGAAGCGAAGTGTTGATGTGAAGAGAATGTAAACATTACAGGATCCCCCTGACCCCGTGATCGCATTGGACCCTCATGGGGAATGCCATTTGCTGTGATTGGTGACTCGTCATTGTTTTTGCTCCTCAGTCTCTCCTCGATTCTACACATCAAAAAGCCATCCGAGGCCTGCCCCACAATATCTTGCCAACCACTGCTGATCCAGCTTCTATCACATTTTCATTGCTTCACTAAGTGCCTGCCTGCCCGCCCAGGCGCCGCAGCCGAGCAGCATGAGCTGCAGATACTGGATTCGTGGAAAATGCCAGCTCGGTGACCGCTGCAAGTTCCAGCACAGCCTGTCAACACAAGCATCTGGGGGTGACACCCCAAGTAAAATTAAAAAAAAGGAGATAGCCCACTGCAAGTTCTGGCTGAGGGGGAACTGCATTCGAGGAACAAAATGCTGGTTCAGACATGTTCCAGCAGAAAAGGGACGCGCCTTGCAGGATGAGCGTGGCAAAGGTATGGGCTCAAGAGTCCTATCCCGCGGCAATTTTCTTGACCAGGGCTGACTGGAGCACAGAGTTAGGCCACATGTATGAGTGTCCTGTCTGCAGGGAGACAACAATACCCACAATCTTTCCAGTGCTATCAAACTGCATCCATCGCATTTGTCCAGGTGAGAGACTCTGTTTGGTGATGTGCTTGTTGCAACACTGATGCTGATGGAGGCCCACAGAGTGCATCACAACCATTCGAGAACGGGACAAGGATGGATTGCCCTGGGTACCAGGCAACGACCCGCTCAAAAACAGAGGATGTTGCCCACTGTGTCGTTCCCCCATCTATTTTGTTGTGATGGCCTCAGTGTGGCCACTTACTGAAGACAAGCACTCGGCCGCAATCAAGCAGTATCTGAGACGTCAAAAGGAAACACCGTGCCGGTTTTTTGAAGCCAGTGTTGGGAAATGGAGAGAGAATGGGTATAAGGCAGAGTACCTTCATTGTCCCCGAGGGAACAGATGCCACTTCAAGCACCAACTTCCTGGTTCAACTGCTCCCTTCCACTTCAAATGGCCTTTTGTGCAGGCAATGATGGACCGACGGCAGAAGGCGAGAAGAGAAAAGACACTAGCAGTGTCTCCAGAGGTGGCCGGCTCCATCCAGCCAATGCCAGATATCTATGACATCGACTCTGATGAGGACTCAGAGGATGGAATGCCCATGACTGAAGAAGAAGATCAAGAGCTGGTGACCATGAGGCAGACCCTCTCAACAGCTGAGTTACTTACGTGGGTTGTTGATAGAGAATTTGAACGGATACGTCAACGTGCACAGCGGGAACGGGACAGATGGGCACAAGCGAATCATGAAGAGCAGCTACTTCAGCCATATCGATTCTGGTAGTGCAGCACCAACAGTGAAATTCAAAAACCAATAGCTAATGCAGAGATGGAAATTGATTCTAATTTCAAGATTTTGTGCTTGTTTATCTTTCTTCATTTGCTTGATGCGGCAGGGAAATTGACTGCGAATGTTTGCCATCGATTTTGATTATCATCAGTTTTGGCCGTTGTAAATTTTGACTGTAAATTTTTACCGTCGTCAATTTTGGTCGTCAATTTTGGCCGTCGTCAATTTTGACCGTCAATTTTGGCCGTTGTAAATTTTGGTCGTCAATTTTTACCGTTGTCAATTTTGGTCGTCAATTTTGGCCGTCGTCAATTTTTACCGTCGTCAATTTTGACCGTCAATTTTGACCATTGTAAATTTTGGTCGTCAATTTTGACTGTTGTAAATTTTGGTCGTCAATTTTGGCCGTCGTCAATTTTGACCGTCAATTTTTACCGTCGTCAATTTTGACCGTCAATTTTGACCATTGTAAATTTTGGTCGTCAATTTTGACCGTCAATTTTGACCATTGTAAATTTTGGTCGTCAATTTTGACTGTTGTAAATTTTGGTCGTCAATTTTGACCATTGTAAATTTTGGTCGTCAATTTTTACGGTCGTCAATTTTGACCGTCAATTTTGACCGTCGTCAATTTTGACCGTCAATTTTTACCGTCGTCAATTTTGACCGTCAATTTTGACCATTGTAAATTTTGGTCGTCAATTTTGACTGTTGTAAATTTTGGTCGTCAATTTTGACCATTGTAAATTTTGGTCGTCAATTTTTACGGTCGTCAATTTTGGTCGTCAATTTTTACCGTCGTCAATTTTGACCGTCAATTTTGACCATTGTAAATTTTGGTCGTCAATTTTTACCGTCGTCAATTTTGGTCGTCAATTTTTACCGTCGTCAATTTTGACCGTCAATTTTGACCGTTGTAAATTTTGGTCGTCAATTTTTACCGTCGTCAATTTTGACCGTCAATTTTGACCGTTGTAAATTTTGGTCGTCAATTTTTACCGTCGTCAATTTTGGTCGTCAATTTTTACCATCGTCAATTTTGGTCGTCAATTTTGGCCGTCGTCAATTTTGACCGTCAATTTTTACGGTCGTCAATTTTTACGGTCGTCAATTTTTACGGTCGTCAATTTTTACGGTCGTCAATTTTTACGGTCGTCAATTTTTACGGTCGTCAATTTTTACCGTCAATTTTGACCATTGTAAATTTTGGTTGTCAATTTTTACGGTCGTCAATTTTTACGGTTGTCAATTTTGGTCGTCAATTTTGGCCGTCGTCAATTTTGACCGTCAATTTTTACCGTCGTCAATTTTTACCGTCGTCAATTTTTACCGTCGTCAATTTTGGTCGTCAATTTTTACCATCGTCAATTTTGGTCGTCAATTTTGGCCGTCGTCAATTTTGACCGTCAATTTTTACGGTCGTCAATTTTTACGGTCGTCAATTTTTACGGTCGTCAATTTTTACGGTCGTCAATTTTTACGGTCGTCAATTTTTACCGTCAATTTTGACCATTGTAAATTTTGGTTGTCAATTTTTACGGTCGTCAATTTTTACGGTTGTCAATTTTGGTCGTCAATTTGGCCGTCGTCAATTTTGACCGTCAATTTTTACCGTCGTCAATTTTTACCGTCGTCAATTTTTACCGTCGTCAATTTTTACCGTCGTCAATTTTTACCGTCGTCAATTTTTACCGTCGTCAATTTTTACCGTCGTCAATTTTTACCATCATCAATTTTGGTTGTCAATTTTGGCCGTCGTCAATTTTGACCATCATCAGCTTTGCCTGTTGGTAAATCACTAGTAGCACACTTGAACTGTTGGTCTGAGGTTGGTGTCGGATAATTATTTTTCCAACCCAACAAAATTCCGCGACAGGAACATCACCAAATTCACCACAACATCATGCACCTCCTGCAACCTCAATAGACGGAATTGATTCAAAATTTTTGGATACCAGAAAGGTCTCACTGGGAGGATTCTTTTGGTGGTACTCTTAATTGAAACTGCCTATTGGTTGTGGAGAAAAAGGGCATGTAACGGAAATTACGAATTTGGTTAGCGTCATTTTTCACGCTAACCCAATTTGAATTTCCGTTACATCCACATATTTGCCAATAACTCAACAACCATCAATCGTATGGATATGCGAGTACCACCCTTCGAATCGTCTCGCTGAGCCGGTTAGAATGAGCCTATTTTCGTTAAAATATATCAACTTTTGGATGTTATGTTTTAGTCAGTATTTGGCCTATAGAATTTACACACAAAAGTTCTGCCAACGGGGCCGTACCGGTGTTTGCGCGCGACGGCCGGCCGGCCAGACGAGTTGCGCAAAACCTTACACGTTGTGTCTGTATCCGCCCAATGTATGATCCGTCATCTCCGTATCTTCGCCTGCGGACACTTGCGATTGTAGTAGCAGAAGATAATATGTTCTCCTCCCGGTCATCCTGCTAGCTTGATTTTTTCTCAAACGCTTGCACCATAATACAAACAGGAACTCCGCAGCATAATGGTCTGTAGCGTTACGATAACATCGCTCCGCGGCCACGGACGTTGCGCTCCGGGAGTTGAGCGCAGACTCCGGATCGGGTGCGCGGTGCGTACCTCTCCGGAACAACATGCGCACATGCTCCGATCTTGCGCCCAATATGAACGCCGTTCGTCGTTTCTCTTCATCTTCTGGCAACACACGTATGATGGATAATTTCTCAAAGGCAAATGTTTTCTGATCGAATAATGTATCCGGGAAGACTTGCTATGTTTTCCATATCGCCCCATCTTTTATTTCTTCCAGTCATGTCAGATGGCCAACTTCTAGAACTCTTTCAGATACCAAGATCATCACAAGGTCAAACTTAGTGAGGGAAAAACAAAAGATGTGTAAAAGATTGTGTGATCGATCATATGCTGGTTAACTACTTAAGACTCTTGCATATATATATATATATAATATCGTTTCTATCAAAACAACCCTTCTCCAAGTCCCCGGCGTTGCCGAAGACAAACATGTTGATGGAGGGTGTTTACAACAAATCGAGCCAAGGATCGGGCTGACGCTCAGCGACTCGTAACAACTAGGCTACTTGACCGCTTACACGACCCGCTTGGTCATTTCAGTCGTCTGCAGAGGATCTATCCCCGCGCGTGGTGACATTGCAATCCGTCAGCTGGCGCTCGAGAGTCTCTTCCCGGGAGCCGTCGCCGACCTGCTGAGGT